GGGAACCCCTGGAATACTTCATAAACCCTCTTTTTTGTAACATAATTAAGGATGAAATTACAATACTCCTTTTTAAGAAAAGCGAAGAAGAGTTGAAGTTTTTGGAATTATCTTATATAAGGCACGGGAAATGCAACATAAAGCTTTGCAATTGCTTGAATTCCGGCAACAAGTACCAGATTTAAAATATCCGCTGTTGAAAACAGCTGTGTCCAGTATATTTTCAATTTCTGGTACAACATATAACCGTGAGTCTTTGTACTCTACAATGAAATTCGTAAAGTCAAAATATCGTTCACAATTAGTTGCATTCGCGTACCTGATAATTATTGAAAGTTATAAAAACTATAAGCTTTTTGTGTTCGCGTACGCAAAAAACTTGCAAAGTAGAGGAAATTAAGAGAACAAAATGGCATTTTATTTTGAGGGAGAGCTGCTAGTTTCTGCTGGAAAAAAGTTTTGCCAACTGCAGTCTGTCAACAAGAAAGCTGCTGATCAAAAACAGCTGGTTGGAATTAACGCAATCCCAAAATTGAATTTGATGGTTTGGAAGTTAAAATAGTAAAATGCGACTATTAAACTTGTAGGAAGTAAGTAATTATTCATTTGGTCAGTGAACTGTGACAGGATAAGACTTCGGGATTGGTTTTCTTACGTTTTCAATTTTATACTTGGAAGTTTCTTCAAATTTTCTGTTCTCCTACTATTTTGGATATTTTTCTCTTGTGAGAGAACAGATGACATTTCGCCGGAATTTTGTTGTTGGATATTTTTTATTGAAGATTTTAAACAAACGTACATACCGATTGACTAACCAACATTTAACAGAACTGTTACGAACGCCAGATTTTGAAAATTCGGCCAAAGGGATCTTTTGAATTTTCTTTAGTATCTATCTTATGTACATTAGAATAACCTCCCCCTAACTTCCAAATTTTTGCCTATATATTCCAAAATAGTACCAGGAAATGCTAGCTCGATAATTTCGGCCCCCTAACTTTCCTATTTTTCCTATGCATACTACTACTATACTACTATATAACAATAATGCTAACAAAATAATAAGTAAATTGAGTTAAAAAGTGGATTTTTGGAGCATCCGGTTCTGTATCAAGTTATTCTCGCTAACTTCAAAGCACTTTCATTTAACTTATTAGTGCTGCCCCCGACACGTATAAAGATCGTGCTTGGCGATTTCAATTCCAAGGTGGGCAACGAAGGGATTTTTGGCGTTACTATCGGAAAATTCAGCCTCCATGACGCAACGTCCGATAAAGGGCTGAGGCTGATCGACTTCGCCGGGGCCCGAAACTCGGTGGTATGTAGTACTGGGTTCTAGTATAAAAAGATCCATAAAGCTACATGGGTGTCTCCAGATCGAAAAACGGCAAACCAAATCGAGCATGTTGTGATAGAGGGAAGGAACACTTCCAGTGTTTTAGATGTACATACATACACTCCAAGGGCCAAACAACGGCTCGTACCACTATATTGATGTAGCCAATATATGCACCCGCCTCGCCACTCGACTCTCACACGTGCTGTGAGAGAGCACTCTTCAACAAAGCGACATACGTGAGCAGTGGAATCACATTTGCCGCTCATTACTGGTACAATAAGGAGTGTCAAGAAGCTGCAGATAAAAAAGGTGCCGCCTACAGGACCACGCTGCGATCGGGCGCAACTCGAGCCATTTGGAACCGTTATAGGGAACTGAAGAGGGAAGCTAGACGTATTTGCCGCAGTAAGAAGAGAGAGGTCGAAATACGTGAGTGCGAAGAGCCTGAAATGCTGACCGACAGAAAAAACACCCGAAATTTTTAGCAGAGAGGTGAGCGAGTTACGGAAGGTTTCAAGACTCCTCGACCTAGTGACCGATGTCCAGAACGTACTCAAATTATGGAGGGAAGATTTTTCGATCCTTTTGAATGGCATAAGCACTGAAAGAAGTGGAGAAGACGACAATCCACAGGAAGACGACCACGCCATGCGTGCCAACTACCACAGGATCTGTAACGAGTTCCACGTGATGCTGCTTTTATTCTTCTGAAAATTCCACCTCAATTTCTTTTTACAACAGAGTTACCTTATTACTAACAAATAGATCTTATACTTAGGGTTGCCATAGATCAGCTTGTATGTGCGATCGTTACAACATGTTTACATCTTGTTACATGCCTTTTTTTACAAATCTAATGTTCTTCCACTACGTGTTACATAAGGAGCAGCTTGGTCAACGTCATTAATATTATTGGAAGTATCTGAGTTCTCCCTACTCTCAGCATCTTCATAAATTGATTCGTTTGCACTATCAACTACACTATTATTTACATCATCATTCTCTACTCCGATTGTATTATCAGATACTTCTTCACAATTATTATTATTTACCCCCTTAGTGTTTGCAGTTATTAAATTATCATTAACATCGAAACATATGTTCTTCACTTCATTTCTTGTTTTCGCAATATATTTTATGTTTCTTCTGAATTGATTACCATATATATCTTTTATAATATATAATCTATTATTATAATTTTTAACAATCGTCCCTCTTTTCCATTGATCTTCTTTCAAAAACAACACATTCTCATTAACTTTTAATTTACTTAGCTCTTTTGCTGATCGGTTATAATAACATGCTTGTTTTTCTCTCTTATTACAAATCCTCTTTTTAATATCTTTTTGGTTTGTCACTTTCTTAAGCAAAATTTTTTCCGAAATCGGAAGCTCCTTCCCATAAGCAACTGAGCTGGCGACAAAAGCATATCTTGCAAAGGAGTTGCATTATATTCCAAAACTTGATATTGATAATCATTATTTCCATCAAGCTTATTTTTCCTCAAGATATTTTTTGCAATAAAGACAGCTTTTTTCACCAACCCGTTACTCTGGGGATAATTAGGACTAGAAAATTGTAAAGCAATATTTCATTCAGTTGCGAATTGTTTGAACTTGTAGCTATTAAAAGGCACGTTATCGGATCTTATTTCAGTGGGTATCCCACATTTGGCAAACAATGTTTCCAGAGCAAAAATGATTTCATCAATTGATTTATTTTTTAATTTTACTGAAGATAACCATCCTGAATAAGAGTCAACAACAGCCAGGTATGACCTGCCACCGCAATCAAAAATATCCATTGCTACCTGTTACCAAGCATACAGATGTTCAGCATTATGAACTAGAAGCTCTTTCTGATTTCTTCCGTGCAAGCTTTCACATATTTGACAAGCGCTAATAAATTGCTCAATATCTGATGACATGCCTGGCCAATAGTATAACTCCTTTGCTCACATGCGGGTTTTTTCTATTCCCAAATGGGCAGAATGAAGCATTCGCGAAATCTGTTTTTTAAGTTCAGATGGTATTACTAATCGATCTCTAAAAAATACTAGCTGATCACAACTACTTAATTCATTTTTTATTTAGTGAAACTTTTTTTCTTGGGTACCAAGTTTTTTATACATTGGCCATCCATCAGACAGTATGTCAATATGTTAGTCAAACATCCGTCGGTTTTAGTTGCGCGAATTATATTGGATGTATTTTGATCAGTTATGCAAACTCTTTTGACTACTGAGTGAGCAACAAATTTGAGCTCAGGATTTTCTGACTCACTGTCTGGCAAATAAGCACGCGATAGACAGTCAGCAACTAGCATACTTTTACCTGGCACATACTTCAATGTCAATCCGGGATATTTTAGTAAAATCATAAACATTCTTTGAAGTCTGGCAGTGACTTTGTCTAAGTCTCTTTTTATGAGTGTCTCAAGAGGTTTGTGATCTGAATGAACTTTCACATCACGTTCTTTTTCTATTTGCGCGTATCTTTTCTCAGTTTCACTTAAACTGCGTGAGGCAAACGCTATGGGCTGCCCCTCTTGTAAGAGCACGCACCCAATTCCATCTTTGGAAGCATCGGTTTGTATGGTAAGCGGTAATTTAGGGTCAACAATTTTTAGAACGGGGGAAGTACTTATAATTGTCTTAAGTTTGTTAATTTCCTGTTCATGCCTTTTATTCCAGTGCCAACTCGTATTCTTTTTTGTCAGCTCCCTTAGATTTGCTGTTAACGCTGACAGATTAGGTATGTACCTAGATAAAAATTTGCACATCATGTTTGTTTGTAGGCATAGGCAGTTCTCGTATAGCTGCCAAATGCTTCTCTTCTGACTTGATCAGCCTGTTTGAGATTCGCTGACCCATAAAGCAATCATTAGTGGATCTATACTGATTTTTTATTGAACTTTATATTAAATTCCCTAGCTCTTTTAATTTAGGGCTGCCAGACGTCCTGGTTTTCCAGGATTTGTCCTGATTTAGATAAATTATCCTGGTGTCCTGGTCCACACTTAAATTGTCCTGGATTTTTAATGAAGGTCAATGCAGACACTCCTCTAACTTTTAGCAGATTTTTGCTATGCAAAAAGGTTTAGCTTTCTGCCATTAGTAGTCGAAAATTGATAATGAACCTTTTTTCTAACATGTTGAATATCTGGTTAGTTTACCTTCTTTCTGTTTAGTTTATTTGGTTAAAATCTTAATTTGTTTTCAGGCAAATACACGGCTGAGGGGTCACAAATAATACGCAGTAGATAATTTCAGGAACTAAAATCTCATCCAAGAGGCCATTCTGAAAGTTATTCCTTTCTCCTTCATTTTTGGTATAGAGCGGCACAAATTGAAGGGCTTCTGCTTTCGCTACTCAAAAAAGAGCTATCAGAAGGACTTTTGTAGAACGCCTTTTGAAAAAGTTCTTTGAAAGTTTTTCTTAATTCATAAAACTCAAACTTCTTTACGGAATTTATTTAAGGTTCATATCAAATAGTTTTATTTAGACTTATTTAGGCTTGCTAACTCTTATTTGTAATGATGTATTGTGGAACGATTTTCCGTCATCCCTTGTCAAATTTGGTTTTGGAGACAAACCGGTTTCGGCGTTGTGCCATCTTCAGTGTCATTTTTCGTTCTGAATAGTTCGTGTTTCCTTCCGCTTTTATGTATTCGTGTTACTATCTGTTTTAACGGTCATTAGGTCATGCATACCCATTTAAGTGCGACCGCTTTTGTTTCATTAGGTGTGTTCGTCGAAAATCTAGCAAGAATTATCCAACACTCAAAATATCAGAGAGTAAGAAAAAATTCTCTCAAATTCTCTCTCATGTTGAGAAACTTGCCAATTTCTGCACGAACGAAAATTTGCAAGTTTCCCTGCCAGCTGGTGTCCACGGTTGCATTTCAAACATAATAAATTTTTATGAAATTTTAAAAATTCTTTCTGATGGACAAAAACTGGATATACATGTATATTTCTTGTTGTTCTGATTTTCTTTAACATACATTTCAATTTCTTTATCGTACTAGCTGGCGGGTTTCTTAAATCGACTCTGGTTGCAATTGCATTCCGATTGCGAATACAATTTTTTTCAGCCGAGTTAAGTTCAAATCATTGGAATTAACTAAATTAATTATATCAACAAGTATTTACTTCATTTTTTCATAAAAAAATCGCTCGTGTTTACAAATTTTTAAATTTGACGAACTTATTTATTCAAATTATCGTAGACAAAAATACAGCCATGCGCCACAATCACATGTTTTTCGTGTTTGCGAATTCTTGCTGGCAAAATTTTTTCCAGCAAGAATTTGCAAGTTCTCTCCAAGAGAACTGTCACTTCGCTCTCACAATTTTTGAGTTTTGGATAATTTTTTGGTCTGCACGAACGCGATTTGGGCAAAAATCGTGATAATTCGTACAAATTCGTAAAAAATTTTTGATCGACGAACAAACCTATTATCTCGCAGGTAGGTGCTTTTTGGTTGCTTGTATTCGCCGGCGGGTAGAAATCCGTTATTTTTATTTTCTTGGTTTTCGTGATTGCGTCGGTTTATGTTCCGTTATTTAGCAGGTATTAGGTTGCTTGCTTGTATTTGTAATGCTTAGTAATATAAACATGTACTTAAGTACATTCGCGTAAATTGTCAATAGGAACACCTTTCAAGAAAGCATGCAGGGAAGCACTTTTTTCCATTCTTTTTGCGTAAGTCTTTTAGTATGTCTTCGCCTAAGACATCCTACCTAAATTAGGCTGTAACCGCCTAAGCATTTTGGCAGAGTTCAGCAAAGCACGCCAGTCGTTTCTCCTCTGTGCCAACTGACGCCAATTGGAAACGCCAAGTGAAGCCAAGTCCTTCCCCACCTGATCTTTCCATCGCAGTGGGGGCCTCCCTCTTCCTCTGCTACCACCACCGGGTTCCCAGTTAAATACTTTCAGAGCTGGAGCGTCCGTGTCCATTCGAACGACATGACCAAGCCAGCGGAGCCGCTGTATTTTAATTCGCTGCACTATGTCCATATCGTTGTAAAGCTCATACAGCTCATCGTTCCATCGTCTGCGGTACTCGCCGTCGCCAACGCGTAAAGGACCGTAAATCTTCCGCAAAATCTTTCTCTCAAACACCCCAAGAGCCGCCTCATCGGATGTTGTCATTGTCCATGCTTCTGCGCCATATACCAGCACGGGCATGATGAGTGACTTATAGAGCGTGGTTTTCGTACGTCGAGAGAGGACTTTACTCCTGAATTGCCTACTCAGTCCAAAGTAGCACTTGTTGGCAAGAGTGATTCTACGTTGGATTTCAATGCTGACATTATTATCGGTGTTAATGCTGGTTCCCAAGTAAACGAAATTCTCTACTTTCTCGAAATTGTAACTGTCAACAGTGACGTGGGTGCCAAGGCGCGAATGTGCTGACTGTTTGTTTGATGACAGGAGATACTTCGTCTTGTCCTCGTTTACCACCAGACCCATGCGCTTTGCTTCCCTATCCAACTTGGAAAAGGCAGAACAGACTTCGCGGTTTTTGTTACCGATGATGTCGATGTCATCGGCATAAGCCAGCAATTGCACGCTCTTGTAGTAAATTGTTCCTGAGCGGTTCAGTTCTGCAGCTCTTATTATCTTCTCCAACATCAGATTAAAGAAGTCACATGAAAGGGAGTCGCCCTGTCTGAAACCCCGTTTTGTGGCGAACGGCTCGGAGAGGTCTTTTCCAATTCTGACGGAGCTGGTGGTATTGCTCAACGTCATTTTACACAGCCGTATGAGTTTTGAGGGGATGCCAAATTCAGACATAGCGGCGTATAGGCAACTCCTTTTAGTGCTGTCAAAAGCGGCTTTAAAGTCGACAAATAGGTGGTGAGTGTCGATCCTTTTCTCGCGGGTCTTTTCCAAGATTTGGCGTATTGTGAATACCTGGTCTATGGTGGATTTGCCAGGTCTAAAGCCACACTGATAAGGCCCAATCAGTTCATTGACGGTGGGCTTCAGTCTTTCACACAATACGCTCGATAAGACCTTGTAACCTATGCTTAGAAGGCTGATCCCGCGGTAGTTGGCGCGAATGGCGGGGTCACCTTTCTTGTGGATTGGGCAGAGCACACTTAAATTCCAGTCGTCGGGCATGCGTTCATCTGACCATATTCTGCACAAGAGTTGATGCATGCACCTTATCAACTCCTCGCCGCCGTACTTGAATAGCTCAACTGGCAGGCTGTCAGCTCCAGCGGCTTTGTTGTTTTTCAGCCGCGTTATTGCTATACGTACCTCGTCATAGTCAGGCGGTGGAACGTCGACTCCGTCATCATCGACTGCGGGCTCGGGTTCTTCTTCTCCACAACTTTCCGTGCTGCTACCATTTAGTAGGGCGGAAAAGTGTTCCCTCCATAATTTAAGTACGCTCTGGACATCAGTTACTAGGTCGCCATTATTGTTCTTACAGGAGTGCGCCCCGGTCTTTAAACCTTCCGTAAGTCGCCTAACTCTCTGGTAAAATTTTCGGGCATTCCTCCTGTCGGCCAGCATTTCAAGCTCTTCGCACTCACGTATTTCTGCCTCTCTCTTCTTGTTGCGGCAAATACGTCTCGCTTCCCTCTTCAGATCCCTATAGCGGTCCCACATAGCGCGCGTTGCGCCCGATCGCAGCGTGGCCCTGTAGGCGGCATCTTTTTTCTCTGCAGCTTCCTGACACTCCTCATCGTACCAGTTGTTCTTTCGGGCTCGCTGAAATCCGACTACTTCTTCGGCGGCGGTACTTAATGAGCGGGAAATGTGGTTCCACTGCTCGCATATGTCGGTTTGTTGAAGAGTGCTCTCTGAGAGCAGGTGTGAGAGTCGAGTAGCGAAAGCGCTGGCTGTCTGTTGTGATTGCAGCTTTTCGACGTTAAGCTTTCCTTGCATATTTGGGCGCACATTTTTTGCTGCACAGAGGCGGGTGCGTATCTTGGCTGCAACAAGATAGTGGTCCGAGTCGATGTTTGGGCCTCGGAGTGTGCGTACGTCTAAAACACTGGAAGCGTGCCTTCCGTCTATCACAACATGATCGATTTGGTTTCTCGTTTTTCGATCCGGAGACAGCCAGGTAGCTTGATGGATCTTTTTATGCTTGAACCTAGTACTGCATACTACCATGTTTCGGGCCCCGGCGAAGTCGATCAGCCTCAATCCGTTGTCGGACGTTTCGTCGTGGAGGCTGAATTTTCCGACGGTGGTTCCAAAGATCCCTTCTTTGCCCACCCTGGCATTGAAGTCGCCAAGCACGATTTTGATATCATGACGGGGGCAGCGCTCGTACGTGCGCTCCAAGCGCTCATAGAAGAGATCCTTGGATGCCTCATCCTTCTCTTCCGTCGGGGCATGGGCGCAGATGAGCGAGATGTTGAAGAATCTCGCTTTGATGCGGATTGTGGCTAGACGCTCGTCCACCGGGGTGAACGACAGTACTCGGCGACGGAGTCTCTCTCCCACCACAAATCCAACACCGAATTTGCGCTCCTTTACATGGCAGCTGTAGTAGACGTCGCAAGGCCCCAGACATTGTTTGCCTTGCCCCGTCCAACGCATTTCTTGGATGGCGGTGATGTCAGCTTTTGTCCTTACGAGGACATCAACCAACCGGGCAGAGGCACCTTCCCCATTAAGGGTCCGGACATTCCAGGTGCATGCCCTCAAATCGTAGTCCTTTAAACATTTGCCGTGGTCGTCATCATAAGGGGGGGTCTCATCCGAGGCTTTGCCTTGCTTCTTCACTGGAAGTGGTTTTTACGTGGCGGGTCCCAAGCCCAGCGCACAACCCATTGCTGGGACGGGGGTGGTTTCGCAACCAAATACACGTTTATATAGCGAGCCGCTTGCTCCAAGCAGATACCCGCTTGCAGCCGCGCCTACTGGTGAACAGGCGCTGCAGACTTCAGTAAGCCCTTAAACCGAATAAGTCACAGTGGCCCCACCGAAGCTCCCTCTCTTTCTGCCGTGACCCAAGGCTCCACTCGGATTGGTTACCGCATCTCGCACATGGGTTGCTCACGTTGCCCAGAGTGCGCGAACGAGGACGCAAGAGTCGGGATTGAGTATAGCCATGCAACTGTAACTGCATACCCAGCGCAACGACTATACCCCATTGCACTCTAAATTATCTTCAGGTTAAGCATATACATGGCAAAAATGATCATGAAGTGCGTTGTGGGATATGCGGAAATTTGCTAATGATGGTACGGAAAACATTCAAGACCACATTAAAGGCGCCGCTTTTTCCAAGTTACCTCAAGTTTCGCTTACGATAAAAAAAAATAGAACTTAAGCGTTTCATCATCATCAACTTTATTGCTTATAATATCAGAACCAAAGCAACTGTACTTATAGGGAGCATATTGGTACCATATTCACTTGTGTCTTCGTGTTTGATTCAGATGATAAGTGTCCTGGTCGATGGGTTCAGGATTTTGGCAGCCCTATTTTAATTACTTCCAATAATCGCTCGTCATGTTCTTTTAAGGTCTCACCTGCTATACATAAATCATCAAATATATTTCTACACCCTCAATATCTCCAAACATTTGCATCATATATCTCATAAACACTTCCGGAGCGTTTCTGAATCCAAACGGCATCTGATTCCACTTATATAAGCCAAATGGTGTTATAAAAGTTGTTAACTTCGAGCACTTCT